ATGGCCACTCTTTTACTCTAAAAAAGTATAGTGTGTGTATGGATTTTCAAAAATGATTCTAAAAGTGTGAAAAATAAATATCATAATATTAATGTTTAGAATTTTATTTTTAAAACTGATATACTTAATTTTGTATTAAAACTAACAATATAACATAAATTAATAAAGTAATAAAATATTTGTGATAAATATATATATTTTTATTATTTTATAAAACTAATTGTTTATTTTTTTTTTCGATAGTAATTTATCAAAATATATAACTAGGGATTTGCATATATCTAAGACCGACGTAGGATTGAAAGACCTTTCAACACCGAATCAAAGACCGTACTGTATAAGGTCTAGTTTGGTCCATTTTGGAGCGGTTTTTTTCAATTCGGTCTTAGTCACAATCACTTAGGCTGAATTTATTTTTTATATTAAAACATTAAATAAAAAATTAATAATAATTTATTAGTACATATTTATGTGACTATCAATTTTAGATGCAAAGACAGTTTTGATAAAATTAATTGCTTCAGATTTTAAAAGTGGACTTGAGGAGAGGTGGGAGCTAAGGGATTGAGGAGAGGAGAGCTAAAGAGGGTTAAGAGTCACAAGAGAGGTGCTTAATCTTCAAAATACAGTAAATTGTTATAAGAACTATCTATAATTCCAAATTAAGACATAGAGACATTAAGTCTTGAATATGCCATATATGTCAATTATTCACAAGGTCATATATAAACAACTTGAGATAAAAAAAAAAAAACGCATGCATATGTGGATACATGATAACACACGTACGTGTATATATCTTTATGTTCCACCATGATTATCAGTTATTCGATGCTAGATAAAGATGTGGTGGCAACCGTGGCTCTGCCCGTGTAACCAAAGGCTTTGCCAAAAACAGGTCAGTTTCTGCTTCGCCGAGATCTACAGAACCCTCTTTTCCCAGTAAACTCCATGAAAACCCTTGAAGAAGCCTAGTTAAAAGTATGGTGGTCATGCAAGTCCCAAGTGATGCCGCAATACAACCACGTCGTCCAGTGCTGAATGATATAAATCGAAGATCGTGCTCCGTTAGTGCCACCTCGTAGGATTCATTTAGGTGGCGCTCAGGCCTGAATTCAAGTGGATATTGCCAAACATTAGGGTTCCGACCGAGGCCGATGCGACTGAGCAGCACGTGGCTACCTTTTGGGATGAAGTAGCCAGCAACAGTTGTATCGCTTAATGCAACGTGAGGGACATTGAAAGGTGCAACTGGGTGAAGTCGAAAACCTTCTCTAATGCATGATTTAATGTAATTGAGACGTGGGATGTCTGATTCTTGAACAAGTCTTTCCCTACCAACTTCTCTGTCAAGTTCTTCCATGGCTTTTTGAAGAACATCGGGGTGGTTTATCAGTTCAGCCATTATCCATTCCACCACGTTTGATGGATTATCTACTGCTGCCATAATGAGTTCCTACAATAAAATTTTATCCTTAGTTAAGCCTATGTTGATATATATATATTACAAGAAATAAAGGGTTGCAGAAAATTAAAAAATCAACTTACCCTAGATTGCGCTTTGATCTCTTCTAGTGTTAAGAGCGGCTCACCGCTTGAATCCTTCAATGTGATAAGAATATCAAGAAGGTCATGAACGTCCTTTTCGCCATAGTTTGGGTCATTAGGGTTTCGCCACTGCTGTACCCTTTCTATAATAATAGGGTCATGGTACTTATCAATAACATTGTTAGCTTCTTTTATAATCTTTTCATGGCCATCAAGGTCAAGCCCCACCAACCCAGGAAAATAATCTGAGATACAGTAAGCGTAAGTGAAGCCGAGCGCAGTTATAAGTGCTTCAACATGATTTATTTCATGGACACTCGGGCTTGCATCGACTATTGGCTCGAAGAAATATCTTTTGTCAAACATGAGTCGCCTGATCACATTCCCACAATAATATCTAGTTGCAATTCTCAAGTCCACGTTCTTGTTATTCTTGTATTGGTTATATATGTAGGTGACGAGATTGTCAGCCTCCTCAACTCTTTTATCTTCGAGCCACTTGTGTCTTGTTGGACAAATTATCTCTGATGTCAAGACTCGTCTCATTTTCTTCCACTGATCACCAAATGGCGATAAAACGGTCGTCAAATAACCACCGCTAATAGTATGGGCAGAGAATGAAAGTGGCCTCGATGCGAAAATTGAGTCTTGGTTTTTCAAGATTTCTCGAGCAATCTTAGGACAGGAAATTGGGATTACATGGGTATTTCCAAGACGGATACAAGCAATGTTGGTGTCAAGTTCGTTCATGATCTGGTGAATCCACCGAAATACCGGCTTGTTCCAGATCATTTCCGGGACAGAGCCGATAACTGGCCATGGAAGAGGACCCGGAGGGAGTGGGCCTTGCTTAGAATGTAGCTTATGTTGGTTGGATTTACAAAAAGGAGATCGTAATCTTTTGATTATAAGAATTAAAGCCATGAAAACCAAAGCTTCGATAGTTATGAAGAAAGCACTTGAGATCGGTGTTGTGGAAGAAGAAGGAGAAGAAGTAATTGGCCATTTTTTAGTTAAGCCTAGAAGGTTTAGGGTTACAATCATGGTTGCATGCATCTGCAATAGCTAAGCTGGTTCTACCTCTTAATCAAAATCCTTAACAGTAGCATTGTATTTATAGAGAGAAGGGAAGACGTACAGTGTGAAAAACAAGGGAAGAAGAAACTTAAAAAAGTCAGAAAGGCGATTAAGGCAAATTCCAGTGGGCTTTGGTGCTCTTTCAATTGGCACCATACTCCACTACCTACTTTTATCATTATTATGTTATTTGGCTTTTTCCAATCACCATCTTCGTTCTGATATATATATATGTATATCTTTTTAAGATGAAAAATTAATTGGAACAAATTTGTACACCTCCATGCCACCTGCCATTGTAGTGATGAAAAATGTGGCCAACGGTTACATTTTTTAAATTAATTAAATCAAGAACAAATATCATTTAATCCCCATTATTTTTATCTTAAACATAGTTTTATTATTATTTGACTCCATATTTATTTATTGTATAAAAAATTATTATGATTTAGGTATTGTTGTAATTTTAAATGTGCTAAAAATTATAACAATAAGTTTTTATTAAATTTATAAAATATATCATATTTTTAATTAACTATAATCATATAATTGGTTATGAATAATTTAACTGATGAAACATATCTTTTTCGGATATTGTCTGAAACTTACATAATTCATTTAAAAATGTTACTTAAACTTTTTAGTGTGTCATTTTTTATCATATATATATATATATATATGTATGTATTTGGTGTATGTATTATATATGAAGCCACATTATCAATAAAATACAGTTATATTTAACATTAATTTAATATGAAATTAATTAATATATCCATATTTTAATTATGTGTCTAATAAATATAATTCAATAAAGATAAAAATTGTCCTAGCATATAATTAAAGTAATTATTTATGTTTATATACTAACTTAATTAATATTGACGTTGTATGTTATAAATTTTATTAGTAAATAACTTGTTTATATATTTCATATTATTAATTGTCACATTTAATAATTACTAAACTAAATTATTCTAGTCAAAAGTATATTAATTTATATCATATTTTTATTTATTACAGAAAAATGCATATTCAAATTTTGACACAATTATATTTTTAGTGTTTGTATATTTTTGTTTGACTTAAATTAATCTCTTTCTAGAAATGCTTACAAACTCCCTTAATATTTGTATTACGTGTTCTCAACTTAACAAGTGGTACAATTTTATAGATTTTTTTCACGTTATATGTTATCTGATGTTAGTGCATGAAGAAATATATTAATTTTAGACCGGTCTGAATTGTGTAAAGTAGAAAAAAAAAAATCTGCAAATATCTCTCCTATCACGTTTCTGTATCTCTCTTCACTCCACCAACAGCCAAAGCTTCAATCTTCCTCTCAATCTCAGACCAATCTTCGCCCCTTGAGCTGTCTCCGGCTCCCGGCGCCTCTGATGTTCTGCACTGAAACGGGATAAGAGAGATAAAAGGGTGAAGAGTGAGAGAGAAGTAAGAGAGAGAGTAGCAGATAAAAAAGAGGAGACAGAGATGAGAAAGAAGAGAAGGAAAAGAGAGAAAAGTGTGAACGGGAGGTATTTGCAAATTAAATTAATTTTTCACAAATAACAAACATGACATGAAAAAATAATTAATCAAATTATTTCAAATGCCAAATATGGTAATATGTGCATATATTAATAAAATTTGCAGAAACTTAAATATTTTTTTTAAAATAAAAAAATTAGTTTAACATCGATGGAGATTGACACTTAAGAACACTGTAGTTTGTCTCTAATATTTTAACAATTCACCTTTAGAAAAAAAAAAAAGATTAAGCCACTTAAATGTAATTTTTAATAAAAATTATATTATAATAACGAATTCAAATAATTCGAACTTAAAATTTTTTTTGGACGCTTTTTTTTCTAAGAATATGACTTATAACAATTCATAAAAGTTCCAAATAAATTGCCTAACGAATTAAATGAATTGAGAATGTAATAACCAGATTCGAAATTTGTCCCGTAATTAATTTTAAAATTTTAAAAAATATATATAAATTTAATTTTGAAACTTATAAATTTTTATTTAATATAAAATTAAGAAAAAAAATAGATTGAGAATAAAATTGAAAATAATTTTAAAAAAAAAGAGGTGAAAAATCGGAAACTAGTGGTCAAAATACAATTAAAAAAAATTGCGCTACGTAAGATTGCCTAGTCAGTAGTCTCGATGAACCGAAGCGTACCGCGTGACAAGGCACGCTAATTCGGTGCCACGTGGGAGGCCACACTGGCAATCTGCGTGCCTGCAATCGGACGGTCCGGATGCGTTCTCGCGCGCATGGACGGTCCGGATTCATTCCCTACTTAGGTGCGATCGGACGATTACGATTAAACGCAATGAATGATCCATATTCGTTCCCTCTTTAAACGCGATTGTACGGTCGAGATCAAATCGAGATGAATGGTACAGATTCATTTTCTCTTTAAACATGATCGAACAGTCGAGATCAAACGCGATGAACGATACAGATTTAAGGGAGATGCGTATAAATATCTTGCATCACACCGAACCTAAACCCAAGCCGCTAGCCTCCCATTTGAAAAGAAGAACCAGTCGCCGGAGAAGGGAGCCGACCGCCACCCGTCGCCGCACCAAAACCACCTCTAACTGCCAAAAAAATAAAAATTCTCTTATCCGCTCGAAATTTGATTCCGAACACTCCTATGGTCAAATCAAAGTAAAAGGAATGGTGGATGATCTGAAAACCACGGGTAAAGTCCGATGGCACTACCGCAGGTAAAACTCGAAACAGCCTCCGATGAGCCCTTTCCCGTTTCCTATTTCATGCGATTTTTCTACTATTGTATTCACCATTCTGTTTTCTACAGACTGACAAAAAAAAAAGCCCAACCTTGAAGGTGAGTCGGCGGAGCCGCCGCACCAGAAAATCTCGTCGCCGGTAAGTTTTTGTTTTTTTATTTTTCGGCCAACCGATGCTCTTTAACATATTTTCTCGTAGGGATGGATATAAAACCGACCGAAACCGGCTAAAATTGACCGAAAACGATAAGGCCTAGGCAAACCGCTACCGCGAGAATGACTCAATTCACCATCATACCGGACGAGGTATTGAGGGATGATATTTTTGGCGCTCATATTGGACGGGGTATGGGGATGACTGGTTGGTTAAAAATGTTAAATATTGGTTCACGTGTAGTGGAACATGTTTATGGGCCCCCAGGGATACCAGTAGGCAAATAAAAATAGAAAGTTATTGTTATAGCTCACTCGAAAATGAGATTACAATATTATTTGAGTTATTGTCTATATAGGTCGGTTTTGGAAATCTCATAACAGTAAATATATGCAATAAATAGTTTTCTTTATGATAAATAAATTTACTTAAATCAAGAGTTACATTGGTTGTTTTTATGATTTTTATTAACATTTAGTTTCTGTATTGGTAAGTAGTGTGATATTCTTACTGGGTTAGTGTAGCTCACCATTTCATTAACTATTTCAGATCAAGAGAACCGAGACTCAGATCTCGATCAACAAAAGGGTTGTGAATAAGTTTACCACCTGAACTTCCTTTAGAAGCTAATGAATGTCGTCTTAGAATACTCAGTTATTTGTCTTTTGTTTATTTATTTAATTTTTATTTTTTCTTTTAGAATGGAAATTCATGTAGCTCTATTGGGCATTCTAAATTATTGTGTAAGGAATACAAACCCTAAACTCTATAATTTCACTTTCGCATTTAATTTATAGTTTTATTCCCTTTTAAGTTCCGGATCTTTACAGTTGGTATCAAGGAATGTAAACTCTAAACTGTATTATTTCGCTTCCACCTTTAATTTATGCATTTATTCTCTTTTAAGTTTCAGATCTTTACAGAGAATGTAGGTAGCTCCTGAAATATAAACTATAATATCATGAAAGGTCCTAATTAAAATTAACAAAATTGTTTAGTAAAATTTGTATTATGTTTACGGTGAGAATGAACTACTAAAATTTGATTGGAATAAGACTGTTGATTGATAACTCTAAAATAGTTTAAATACAAAAGGAAATTAATAACTATTACCATTTCTTAGGTCATATCTCTAAAAAATAGGATAAGATGGGCAACAACTGAAAAATTATTTGAAAATTAAATAATAGCTGCTTTAACTTATTCTTAAGCAAGTAAGTTGTGACCATGATTAACTACTTAGACCAAGTCCTTGGCAACCTAGAATCTTCACGTTGCATGGTTCACGATAATTTTTTTAGTGAAAATAGTTTGGGTCTTTCATGGGCATTATTTGCGATCTTCTTAGTTTATCAATACTACCTCATTTGGCAGTAACCTCGTCCTTAAGGTTTACATTATTGAAAAAACCTTTTTTTTTTTTTTTATCTCTTGAGAGTTTTCCCATGTAGCATCATCTACTAACAACTTTTCCCATTTAATCAAGCTTTGTTCCACAAATTTTGACCTTTTTTTGACCCAACGGGTGTTTGATATCACTTTTGGTTCCATAATCGAGTCACCATATTCAATCATTCGTGATAACTAAATACTTTCCATAATTATTTATCTCAACTTCTTTAAAAGGAACACATGAACCACTAAATGAATACAAGAGCCTTGTGGCAATTTGAGTTTATAGGTCACTTTTCCAATTCTTTCTTCAATATAATATGGCACATAAAACCTACTTTTGATAAGCTCTTATAAACATAGAATGTTGGCAGCATGGATGAAGTTTCAGAAATGCAAGGTTGCTCACTTGGAACTCAATGTCTCATTGTTTAAAATTAGCTGGCTATTTCATTCGACTGTTTGCTACATGTAAATTTTCTTTGAGCTATTGCGCTAAAACATCTCGTGAAGCTAAGCTTTGGTTAACTTCATTTATGACCAATCACCTTCCTGATAATGTGGAAATGTTGGTGGAGGTCTATCATATAAAGTTGAAAGGGGAATCATTCATGTAGATGCATGATATGTATTATTATATCAATACTTTATCAATTGAAGGAAAGAACGCCACTTATGAATTATTGATAAGCAAACATTGAAGGCACTATTCAACATAATGGTTAGTCACTTCCTTTTGTTCATTTGTTTCTGGATGGTAAAATGGGATTCATCTTCAGCTCTATTCCAGAAATTTTGAAGAATTCTTGCTAAAAAAAACTGATGAATACTAAGTATCAATCGCTATTGATGGATTGAGCAATCTTAAAAAGCTTCACTACTCATTTAATGATTTTTCTGCCACCAATTTTATCGTGTATGGAAGGAAAAGAGCCATAAGATGTGCATATTTGCTCAACCTATCAACCATGACCAAAATTGAATTTTTATTATTTGAAGGTGAAAAACCTTTAATGAAGTCCATAGTGATATTATCCCAAAGTTGATAAGGAATTAGAATTGTTACAACAATCTAGTCGGAAAAAAAGCCTCCACCTTGATGTGTTGACATACTTCACAAAAGCAACATAATTCTTCACTACTTGCTATATAGATGGTCAAAAAAATTATTGTGCTAGCCTCTTATATGTTCTCAATACACTTGAATCTCCACTAATTCGTGAGTTGTGGAGACACCATTGCTCGATTTTTGTTATATTAGTGACTATAACTTGGATCAACAAACGTGTTATTCCCTGGAGGCTGAACCAAATTGCCAACTCTATTACCAATGGTGATACGAAACCCAAGGATCAAAGATTACATCAAGAATCCCACATATACATTTAGCATAGATAAGTCAGAACCTTAAATAAATCCTCCCTACCAAATTCATAATTGACTTGTAATTGAGAACTTTGGTGATTGGGAGAAATAAGCAAGAATGAATAAACATCACAAGATAACTTGATAAGTTAATTCAATTCTTGATGCAACTAGAAGAATAAGAATTCTCACTTTTCAAAGTTTTACCCAAGGTAATGAAATTCATTCAATAATCAAAATATGTTATATTACATTGAAAATGAGATAATTATAGCTTAAAACACCTACATTCTGCTAAAAGATTATAATTAATACACATATGAATCTAGACATTTATGAACTTAGATATCTATGAAACTTTAATTATTTAAGAAATGATCTTTGAAAATATGATATTAAATTACTCTGAAAAATATGAAAAAAATTTAATTATCTAAGGAATGATTTAGGAAAATATGATATTAAATGACTTAGAAAAATATTAACAAAATTTAATTATCTAAGAAATAACCAAAATGAACCTAAACATTTCCTGTAAATTCTACCAATACACTTAGACGAAATTAATGATCTTTTTTTGCTCTTTTGATTCTTCAAACAATCAACATATGCTAAGTTCTTACTCTATCCATCTTTGTACAAAGGCTTGGAATGCATGTTTTAGCTTCGTGGCTTGAAACTTGTGTTGGACCAACTAGCATTATAATATCTTTTTTCATTCTTCTCTTTGTATGATATGTTGATGCCTTTTGAACCCACATTCACATCATTCCCTCATTCTTTAAAATGATTCATTCTTGAATCTACATCCATATTAAAAGGAGAAAGATCATAAATGTTAAAAGTGGCAGACTCAGAATGCTTATTTGGGAGATCAATTCGATAAGCATTATCATTAATTTTCTCTAACATTTGAAATGGTCAATCACCTTTAGGATCCAGCTTTGGCTTTTTTTTTATTTTGAAAACCTTTTCTTGTGCATATATACCCAAACCCAATCTCCAGGTTCAAGTACAACTTGTTTTCGCCCTTCATTAGCCTTTTGGGCATAAACTTGGTTTTCTTTTTAATATGTTCACGTGCATTCTCATAGGTTCAAGTACAACTTGTTTTCGCTCTTTATTAGCCTTTTGGGCATAAACTTGGTTTTCTTTTTAATATATTCACGTGCATTCTCATGGATAATTTTAACCATTTTAGTCTTCTTCTTACCATCTAAATTAGAAATTTCACTTAAAATTAATG